CTGCAGCGCCGGCCCCGACTGGTTGGGATCCGGCGGGCCCCCGACCCGCCCTGACACGGTTTGCTGTCCCCGCAGAGCCACCCGTGCCCGGAGCCGCGCGCGGCCGAGCCGCCAGCCCCCGGCCCGCCGTGATGAACGCGGACATGGACGGTAACGAGGCTTTCGCTGCTTTGTTTCCCCTTCCCCCTCGTGCCTGCGCCGTGCCGGGAGGACGTGCAGCTTTGTGGGGGCGGGGGGCCTGTCTAGCTGTGTGTGTTTTGGTTTCTTCCAGCTGTGGAGGCTGAAAACCAAGTGGAACTGGAAGAGAAAACCCGGCTTATCAACCAGGTCCTGGAGCTGCAGCACACTCTGGAAGGTGAGCAGCTCCTGGCTCCTCTTCCTGGTCTGTGGGATCCTTCCCCTCACTGCTCAGGAGCACAGTGCCAAGTGTGGCTTGTAGAGACTCTCCCTGGCTGAAGTCTGAGCTGAATAAACAAGTAGCGGGTTGTGCTGTTACATGATTGAAGGGCTCTGGAGAAAATGCTTCTGTGCTTGCTATTAGGATCTGGCCTCCTGGCTTCTTGCCCTGCATCCAAATTTTACTCAAAATGCTCAAGGTGGATTTGCTGCCTTGTTAATTTCCTTGCCATTAAGAGCTAGACTGGATTACTTTGTCCATGAGCCTGTGGGTGCTTGAAATTCTGCAGCCTCCCATAGCTGCTTCTGGAGTTGCTGAGCATGTGAATGGTTAATGGAATCATGTGCAATGAATGAGCGTAATAACGTAACCATGTCAGCAGGCAGGAGAAGGATGGTGACTTGCATGCAGTTAAGTGTACAGAGCAAGGAAGTTAGGAAACAAGCTTCTGGAAGGGGGGTGGGGTGTTAACACAGCTTCATTTAGAAAAAGGTTGGGTGATGTCCTTCAGGCAGTGCTATTTTACATGGTGCTGCCATGCAGTCCTGTTTGCCTACGGTAAAAACTCAAGTAATTTGAGTTAGATGCATCAAATGGCTCGGTTATTTTAAATAACCAGTATTTGTGTTTTTCTTTAGACCTGTCAGCACGAGTAGATGCTGTTAAGGAAGAAAACTTGAAACTGAAATCAGAAAATCAAGTTCTTGGACAGTATATAGAAAATCTTATGTCTGCATCTAGCGTTTTTCAGACAACTGACACAAAAAGCAAACGGAAGTAAGGGGTTTGTTCCCAAGTGGTGGCACTGTATTACAGCTGTTTTTTGTTTTAATTGGCATAGGCTACATGAGCTAAAATACCTTAGTGTGTGGCTTTCTTGGGTATATGAAGATTAACTGCAGTGATGAGCAGAATTAAGAACATTATCATAAACCGGAGACATGAGTTTGTGTATTAGACTTTGAACAATGTGCAGATGTAGTGTAGAGACTTTATAACTAGACTTGCATATTTATGTTTCAGAAATCAGCAATGAGCATGTCTTGTTAAAACTGGATTCAGTTAGTCAGGTGAAGCAAACCTGTCTGTCAGCTGCCTTGACAGTTTTAGGGTAGTGTTCTTGACTAGCAAAATAATGCACTGTTGTATAAAATGGTGTTGAAACCATATTCGAAATGAATTCTTAAACCTACTTTGCACCACCTTTACTTCATCTCAGAAAAAACAAGTTTTAGCAAACATTTTATGATGTTATCCATATCCCTCTTAGGGAGAACAAAAAGTATGGTGTGCGTATTTTTTGTTGGTTTGTTTTTATTTTAAACACAATAAGGTTCTCTGAATAAATAAAGACACAACCTTTACTTTGCAGGGTTTATGGTTCTGGTAGTTTACATAAGTTTTTGTTAGGCTGAAAACATTGAACCCAGTTAGTAAAATGCAACTTTTTTTGTTTTGTGAATGCTGCATTACTGTGATAAATCAAACTCTTTACAATGTGTAAGGTGGTTTCTGCACTTCAAACCAGTTTCTCCTCCCCAGTTCTCTGTATCCCAAAGAAGTGTCAAGGACTGCACCACCGTGTATGGTCTTTAAAAAGTTTATATTTGAGTTAAGTATTAAAGGATCATGAAAATACTTTGAATAGTAAGCTTAGTAGAAAAATCTGCTCACACTTTGAACAATAGTTTGTCTTACTCCTCTGGAAGAATTTGCACTGAGGAACTGAAGATCATACCTTTCTTCAGCTCCTGCTCTCGACCCATCCCCTGAAGTGCCAGATTTCTCTGTACTTCCTGCCTTCTAGCTGCTACTTCTGTTACGACACTGGGGCAGATTGCCAGAGCTAGAAGATAGTGGTACAGTCTCCAGCACTGGCTGGTGCCTGATCACTTTATTTTTACTGGCTTCTATGTCTCTATGGCAACTTCCAATTCCTGCCCTGGTGTACTTTCATGCTACTAGGAAGGGGTAGGAATTGGCATTTGTAACATGGTGGAGACCATTTATGGCAGTAGAAAATAGTGGATATTGGTCCTGTGTAGATAAGTTCTCAACTGTGGCTACAGCCAGAAATATTCTAGCTCCAACACTGTGTCCTTAAGCAAGCAACATAATATCCAATTCAGCTCCCATATTTAAGGTAGAACATACCAACTAATATTTGTAAAAACCCTTTGAAGACAAAGAGTACTATAGTTATATTATAGAAACACTTTCTGACTCGCCTCCCAATTTAATAAGTATCCAACTTTTAAGTCATCAGTTTGAAACTGCTTATTTTTCTAAAGCCCTATTTGGACTAAAATTGAACTGAAGCCAGAACTAAACTGTTTCTAGCAAACTAAGTAGTTAAAATGTATCAGCAGCGGTTTCTATGTACAGTTGTGTTAAATGGTTTGTTCCTAGAACTATAAGTCAGTGAATTAATGGCAAAAACATTTCCACTGTAGCTCAGTATTAAGAATGAAAACACAAAACTGCAAAAGTGGTAATACTACATATTATCAGTGTTGCGACTTGTATTTTTATTGATGTTACCTACACAGTCTTAGAGGTTTCTCTTGTTAAGCAGTAAAGGGCTTATTTGTGAAGGCTGCATTTTATCACTGCTGTAGTAAATTCTGTAAATTTAAGTGGGGAAAGAAAAAAACGAAGGAATTTTGATTGGGTGAGTGGATGTAATGGTGAAGAATTAAAACCACTCAAAAGTTTGAGATTCCTTGATAGCTAAAAACTAGACTTGAACAGCAGCACTGTAGTGACATGGAACTACTCATGAGCTAGACTTTTTTTTAAATGAGACAAGGCTCTAACCTTTCCCAAAAGTGTATTTAAAAGTTACTTTGGCACTTATTTATTGCAGCTCAGACGCATAGATTGCAGTAAGCAGGTTGTTCAATAGTAAAACATTTGTCTCTTGAGTCCTGTTCAGAATTAAGAAACAGTGTACTCTGACCCTATTACAAAAAACAGATAAATGTATAGTGGATAGGACCTAACCTGCCCAATTGTTTAGCTCATTTATAGGATTGAGTCGCATACACCTATAAGATAGGTATCATATACATTTAATTTATCCTCCTTTTACCTGTTCAGAACTTTGTAAACCCTCCCAAATACTGGTAGTAAGGAATTAATCTGGCTAATGGCCTACCTGTCCAATGTTTGGGTATAAAAAAAATACCCATGACATTCATTTGAGGTTTTTTTAAAAACAAAACAACTTTTAAGTTTTGCTCCTTTCACTTAAAAGCCATGTCAGTACATTACCAATTTGTATAGTAGAAGATATCCACCATTGCCAAATGGTAATGAGGCATTCTGTTGTTAGACTTGAGCTACTCTCCTAAAAAACATTAAAAAAAAAAATCAAGTAATCTCAAAACCATTTTTGTATTGTTAACCCTGATAGTGATATTTTAGCCATATGTATATAGTAGTAGTCATTTCAACCAGCTGTAAACATTTTGCATCTCACTGTGTGGCCTTTGTTTAATTTATGAACATTTTAAAATTGTTGTATTTCTGACTTTACACTAAATAAAAGCTTTTGATTGGTCTTATTTGGTTTATTTTGGCATCTTTAAAACATACTAAAACAGATCACCACTATATATTCCAAAGGCAGGGTGGGGAGATGAGGACACTTGAATAGTTCTACATAAATTAAGAGTATTACTGAAATAGTAGTTATGGATACCAAATGCTGAGATTCCCAGTTCTGAGAATTTTCTAGTACATTGTTTGGCTACATGTATCTTGGGCCCTGATTAGTTTAAAGTAAAATGTTTCATGTCCCTGACCTTGTATTTCTGTAAGCCTGTCTATCTGAATGAGAAGAGTCTTGGCAACACAACTCGTGTTCTTGCAACCCAGGCATCTCTGCGTGCATGAGTTTTGGGTAGGAGTACTCATGATTGTGCCTTGCACCAAAGAGGCTATAGTGGATCAATCTTGGAAAGGGTGATTAAATCTATTTGATGATTTAGAATTTCTGAAATGGCCTCTTGGGGCATTCCACCTGTTTTAAGTATTTCTCCATGAGAACTGGGTCTTCATAAAGTATCTGGATAAACTGGCTCAGTTGTGAGCTATCAAGAAGGCTTTTTGCATCAGGGAAGCTTACAATCCTGCAAAGAAAAGTAATACGCACTTTGATGTCCTAGGCCTTTGAACAAGACCCTTATTACTCTTTAGAGACTTGCAGATAATTTTGGAAACTCTCAACCATTTAACTTGCACATTTAATGGACCTTTTTAATGAAAGGCTTCTTTGCCATAGGTTCTTTAACTACAGGGCACTTCGAAGGAAGTGGTACAGCCTCCAACAGAACAGGTGTAATTCGCGTTGCTAAATGGTGTGCAGAAAAAGGAATTGCCATACTGAATTAGACCTTTGTGAACCCTGCTCTGTAGCATCCTTTATCAGAGCCAAATCTCTGAAGCTAGTGTTTCTGAGAGAGAAGAAGCAGGGAGACCGAACAGAGATTGGGTAGAGGGATATATGCTGCAACACTTCCTAGGAAGAGTGACCATTACACCTTCTCTAAAACCATCAGAAATTTAACCCTGATGCTCACGCTGTTCCTCTAAAGGCAACTGAAATTATACAAGTGATATTGGAGCCTTATGTGATAACGTTAGGAACCAGTGGTACTGCTTACATTTGAACCACCAATACAAGGAATACCAGCATCAGCCAGAATGTAGATATGTGCCTCAATGTAAAAAGGGTTCCAGTTGCACCATGTGAGGCAGAACAGGATCAGTTAAAAGCAGAAGTGTTTCTTGATAGCTCAGAGAACCAGCAGTTGCTACAGGGACTGTATGTCCACACCCAAGATTACTAGTCCCCCTATGCCAAGAAAGGAAAATGTGGAGACCTCCCTTATACCTTTACTATGCAACAATCCTTCAGTAAGAGTCCACAAAAGACTACTGAGCCCAGACTCCATTCTACTTATTAGATGTACAAACATAAAAATAGGTGCTAAAGTGCAATTCTATTCCACCCTGTTCAAGTCCCTAAATATCCATTAAAGCATCTCCTGTAACACACCCTCATCTTGCCTTTAAGACTGAGGCAGTGAAGAAGAAGACCACCCACCCACCTTTTTTGCATTACCTGGGTTTTTTTTTGGTTTTTTTTGCCTTTTTTTTTTAGGTGGAATAGAATCTGGCCCTTGGGTACCCTCCAACCTACATCTTTTCCAATGACAATCTCAATCAGAAAATCCAAAACTCTATCCCAACAACTTCAAAGCACTTAAACCCAAGTGCTTCGAGAAGGCCATTGCTGATGGAGCCTCCTGATGAGTGCCTGCAAGATACTCTGTCTGGAATGAACTTGGGATCCAAAAATACTAGCAGTTTAAACAGTACCAGCAGGGAATCTTTGTACTCAAAAATCTGATTTGATTAAGGCTTTTTGCTTGTAGATTTTCCCTTTTCATTTCCTTCATGCCACATTTTATGGGAAATCTTTGGTTTCTTTGTGCAACGATTAGAGGTGTTTTCCACTTGTTTTTATCATGTAGAAAGATACCTATTAATATTTTCCATCCATGTTTGCTGCCAGTGGCTCCAAAGCAGCAAGATGTTACAAGTAAGTTTTGATTTTAGAGTATAGGGCTAATACAGTTTCTCTTGCAGTATGCTGTTTATTTAGATCATATTATGCAAATTAATGTCCAGTTACTTATGACTGTAAAAAACTGAACCTATCAAAAAAATCTTATTTGTAATAAATTTCATGTTAAGCAGAAATTATTAAATATCTTATGTAAGTGGCAATGTACACTTAGCAAATATTTTGTAAACAGAGGTCAGGCCATTCTGGCTTGGAACATGAAAACTATAAAAGTCTGAAAATGTCACCTCTACACTACTACCTTCTGTAGATTTGACATTTTTGCATTTAAAGATAAAGACATGCCACACTTATTCAGTTGTTCTATGTATGCTCTATTTTAAAAGCACCCCTTTAAAATAAATTACTGTAACAAATGTCTACAATGAATGTGACCAAAACATAACACCAACTAAAAGACAGATCTTTTACAATAAAATGTTTCTAGCACTAAACAGTTATCATACAAAAACAACTTTATTGCAGTTAGGTTCTGCACAGAAAAAGTTTGCCTGGCCATTTTTTAGAGCTATGAACTGCCAGTGATGCTACATCTCTGTTACTGTCCCATTCTAGCTGAAGTGTAAGCAGCCAATTTGTGTTAGAGCTGCAAAAATATTACAGTTTACTATGTGTTTTTAAAAAACGTTTACAGCCAAAATTACCTCCAACCACTATTAAACTAATTTCTAAGAATATTCATCTTTTAAATCAGATAGTCACCTGGCAAATTTACTTTTATTCTAAATTCAACATACCAGCTAACTCTTCACATACAGCATTTCTCCTTAAAGAGAATTAAGGAAAGGTTGAAAAGATTAAAGAGGCTGGAGAATGAAAGGAGGCGGCTAAGTAGTGATGAGTCCAATTTCCCCCCCAGATCTCAGCAAACTGCACGCTGTCAGGCACACCGAAGTGGCATACCAAACATTTTTTTATAATCAAGAGCTAAAAATACTAGTTGGATATAACTCAGTCCTTCCGTACTCTTCTTTTGCGTACTGATTTTGTTGGACCATCGCCAGACCCTGTACTTTCATCAGCTTCTTTCATCTGAAATAAAGATTTTAGTATATTATCATCAAAACCGCAAAGCAAAATGTAATTACAGCAACATGTAATGATTTTTTTTAATCAATCCTATCATCTGTAATGCTAAGTAAACTTTCCAGAATGTAATCTAATGATAGAGCCCTTTTTTACCACCCTTATGTTTATCATTTCCTCTGCATAGAATGTAAAAATGATGTGCCACTGATTTTGTATCCTCAAAAAGATTCCCTTAATTTTCTAACCCAATTTACTTAGTATCTAAAAACAATTACTTCATTTCATGAATGCAATGACTTTAAGCAACAGTCTGAACTCACACTCCATTCCCACAGTTACCTTAAAGGTTTTAGGTATGACTTGTTTCGCACTGAGAATAAGGAGCAGCAGAGTGGAAACCAGATACCTGATTTAGCATCTTACGTGTAAATACATAGCTACTAGATAAGAAATTTTTCCAACAGGAATTTCAGTTTGGGCCAACAGCATACCCACTTTCCTGTAACACCCAGTGCAAGCATAATGGCTTTAATTTAGTGCTATGATCTGAGAATTGTCTTGATAACATAAACCTTTTTCATGCAGCAAGTAGGTAAGCTAGATATGCATAGAAGCTTTTTATTGATTATGGATGAATAAATAATACTTTAAGAAAAACTGGCTAGTCACCAGATAACTTTGCACATCAGAGAGAAAAAGGTTAATGGCAGGTGCTGAACTGAAGTCAGATCTGACAATGCTGTTTTGGAGTAAGAAAAGTCTCTGGTCTCCAGCTGCCCCTAAGTTGGTTACCATGACAGAATCAAAGGTGCAGCATACTTGGAAACATTAAAATAAAAGCTATATTACAACATCCAACCTGGGTGTACAGAGTAGTTAAGTTACCTCATCAGCCAAATATGATTTCTGGAATTAGTTCTTTTTTTTAAAAAAAGCCAGATGTCTCAGCACATCATTTGCTGAAGCTTCTGTTGGACACAATGATAGAAGCTAGAACAATAGATTTTGGGGTTTTTTTGCAACCCTACATAATTCTAATAACTGAAGTACTAACATTTAAAACAGAATTTATACGAATTCCTACACTTTCCTAGTTTTATTGATAAATAGACAAAAAAGAAAGACGTGGTCATTATATCGCATGGAACAAATTTCTGTGTTATGCCATTGCGCTTATTTGCGAACCTTATTCCCCGTTTTGTAAACTCACCTCATCCTCTGACCCAGATTTATTTGACTTATCACCTTCTTCCTGGCTTCCTTCTGCAACTTCATTCTCTTCTTCCTCATCTTTATCTTCACCCTCACCTTCTAGCGAAAAAAGTAAAAAGTTGACAAACTGGTCTAGATTAAAATTATAGTTAAATGTTAAAAGAGAAAGCAAACTATACTGGTGAAGCAAAATAAAAACAAAAAAAAATCCTATTTCAATTTTAAGCATTTACAACTCTTGAAGCAAAAATAAATCCATAGTAGTAAAAATAGATTTCTTAACTGGTATAAGAACAATTGTCAAATTCTAATACTTTTGACAACTTCAAAACTAGTTTCTCCTCACACCAGCAAGTCATGTTTTCAGACAGCCAAGCAACACTATGTACAACATTTAACCACTGAGACAAAAAATGGAAGGACTATCCTTAAAAAGTCCTTGTTTTTTTAAGGAATCTTAATAACAATTTGATCCAAAGCAAAAGACATTAATCAAGAAACAGATATGGCATTAACAAAAGCCTCCCCCAAAAAAATGTGAAATTGAGCAAGTGTGAGAGAGTAAGAGAGTTCCAGGAAATACTCTGCATCAAAAAGCAATGAGGAAAAATAACTATGGGGAAAAAGATACAGACAACTGAGATGGAATTATACATCACGGCTATCTTCAGTTAGATCAGGAAAAGGACAATAATGACAACTGACTAGAGATCAACCCCAAACAGTATGTAACACTATCCCTGGTGGATTGTACTTACTTCTACATCCACCCCCACAGGACTCCAGAGAGGTTGGTGGATTTTTTTCTTCTTTTGCTTTAACAACCTGCCATATCAATGAAGCTAACTAAACCTAATATAACCCAAGTAAACAGAAGATAAAATTCACCGAATCTGAAGCCTGTTTAGAGATTTATGTCAAATGAATTGGTTATCCTATTCTAGTTCCTAATGACACACGCACAAGGAAAAAAATGCTATTTAGCACTTATTGGCAGTCTCATAGATGGGGAGAAAACTGGCCACAAATGCTTAGCCATCTTACCCACTTCCATAATGGTCTAAGGTAGAAAATTTGGGCACACAGTTTACATCCAGTTCAGCTCCACTAGTGTACAACCTGTACTGTAAGCAGGACTTAGACATTTTTATTCAGAGAAGTTGAACACAGTGCTAGAGATGCTCTGATCCTGTCTGCACTATGGTTGTCACACCATTGCAACCAAAACTAGAGACATCCATCTCATTATAAAACATCACAGCTTCTACATTTCCTGGTACAGGTGTAGACTTAAAAATATTTACTCCAAAACTGGATAAATGATGGCAAGATAGTGCATCAGAAGTTCACAACACTGCTGCTCACATTTTATCAAGAGGATGGTTAATTTTTAGGTGCTGTGAATTGAGTGCCTTTTAGAAGCACCAGCTTAACTTAAAAAGGTAAAGCTAAACACTAAAAGCAGCTAATACTTGATTTCCATATTCAAACATAATCTAATAACCTGTGATTGTGTTTTAAATTGTACATGGACCTCACCCTTCCTGGTGAGTCTCTTCTTTTTTCCAAGATCTCTCTTTAGGGCAGTGGTTTTCAACCTTTTTAGATGCAAGGCACCCCTGTAAAGCTTTCCAGTATTTAGTAGCACATGCCATGTAATAAACTAATATGAAAATATTATGCATATTATAAATGTGATAATTCTATTAATATGTTAGCAATGTTACAGCTCTGGGGCTGTAAGGACAGAGCATGTGGAGAGACGAGGGGGCAAAAAAAGAAGCGGGAGGGCCAGGAGTGGAAAAGGAGGCAGGTCAAGGGTGCTGCAGCATGGTTCCCTGCCACTGCCATGGCCAGAGAGAACCACTCTCCTGCAGAGCCAGATCAGGATGCAGCTGTGACAGAAGCATGTGTGCTTGCTGCAGCCTTTCCCCATCTGACCCTGTGTGCTGTCTGCCAGAAAGGAGACATGGAGGCAGCAGAAATGTGTGCCTTCCTGCAGCTCTGTTGCGGCCCTTCTCAGTGTGGCTCCAGTGTGCCTCCTGAAAACCAAGACACATGGGGTAGTTTCACCCTGCAAATCGTGGCAGCCTGGAGGTACATGCTGCTGCCACCAGACAGAACTGCTTCACATGCCACTGTTTTCTAAGGCACGTGGGAGCCAAACTAAGAAATGGCTACAGCAGAAGGAGCACATTACATTATGTAGGCAGGCACACCTTTCTGCTGCAGCTGCTTCTCAGTTGGATTCCAACATGCTTCCTGAAAACAGAGACACACAAGGCAGTTTCACTCTACAACAGGAACTGCTCTGGCATCATAGCACTCCTGGCAGTTCCTTGCAGCACCGTGGTTGAAAACCACTGCTCTAGGGAACTGATCCAGGGGGAAAGGACAAATGAAGGGAAGCTGTGGGAAAGTCAAGAACAGAACAAGCCATCCTCATCCAGAAACTCCACAGAAACTTTAATATTTAAAAAGAACATATTGCTTAGAGTAGGGGCATCAAACTCATCTCACCCCAAAGGTCAGACAAATGGCCCAGGACTAGCCCGTGGGCTGGACTGGGCCTATGGACCAGCCCCACATGCTAGAGCCAGTACGTCTTGGCACAGGTGCCGCATGCCATGTGTCCCCCAAAGCAGCCATTTCAGAACCACGCTGCATGCAGTGTCCACTTCAGTGCAGGTCTGCTCCATAGTGGATCTAGCATGCACCCTGGAGAACCTGGTGAGGGCACTGCATGCATTATGGTGCCCACACTGACTGCTCTGCAGCTGTGCTGCCCATGCCAGCCATTCTAGCACTGTACCAGCCACTCTGACCTAGAGTGGATGTGTGGTCCTGGAGTGGCTGGAGCAGGCACCATGTGTGGTAGTCCTGGAGCCTTGCATGCACCTGCTTGTAGTGTAACTCTGAGACCTATGGGCAGCACCAGGAGCCAGATGATAGGGCTCCATGGACTGTATCTTTGACACCCTGCCTCAGAGATTATCCTGTCAGCAGCCCCCTCTTCTTTAAACTGAGGAGATCTACCATAAGTGTTTCTGTTGTTTGCGATTATATACTGTATGAACAGACAGGAATTCTCAAGTAGGCAGATTCCCAAGCAATTTAGTACTTCATAGGTCCAAACAACACCTTAAATTGTCCAGAAACAGACAGAAAATGGTACCAGAGGGAATCACAACCTAGATCAAGATCTGAAGTAGAGGACTACTGCTAAATATTTGTACCATGGCTGCAGATTCTGTGGGGCTGAAGAATCCAATAGGAAACTTTCATGTACAACTATAGAAAGCTGTTGTCCATCACCCTGAATTCTTAATATGAACAAGAAGGAGAAGGAGCAGGAGAAGAAAGAAAAGTCCATTCAAGTCCTGGCTCAGGACACTCCCCTTTCCAATACCTGAGGGAGCATCCTTCCGTCCCATCTTCTTTTTCTCTTTTATAAGCTCACGCTTCTTCTCCTCCACTTGTCTTCTCTCTGTAGGAACAAGAGAATCAGCAAAAAGCAGGTATGTGCTCCGTGCTTTCAGGAATGAAGAGGCAAAAGGAGGTGAAAAGATGACATTTTCCTTATGTATGAAAGGCAGCTGATAGCTTTTTGCCTCCTGCTTCCTGGCAAGTGAAAATATAGCCATTCCATTAAAAGATGATGATGATGATGATGATGATGATATGGAAAAGAAGAGATGTCTGACAAAGAAAAAATATTGCTTTTTCTTCTTAGAACTATAGTAGTTATCTTAAGACCTTTGAATATACTTAAAATTAGCTAGAAATTAAAAAACAACTTGATCATGTGTTTAATTACTACAAAACGTAAGACTTACTATTGGGTCTAATGAGTCTTTTTCCCTAGTGTAATAGTAACAAATAAAAATGGCCATTTTAAGCTACAAAAGGCTTACATGAATTACAAAAGAAACTGCAATTCAAGTAGTTTTCCTTTGCATTTTGCTCCACATGTACAGATTTTCATTCTAAAACAGAGTTTGGTATTACTACCCACCTTCTAAAGAAACATTCTCTTTTTCCAAATATTTCACTACTAGTGAATGCCATCACAATAAAGCTATAAAAATTAAATGGCATTCTCTCCCTAAAAACCCAAGTAGTACAGCATATTTCAATGAATAAGGATAAATGCAGATTTGAGCACTAGAGGCATTTGTACATGTTTGTGCCACAGCACCAGTCACTTTTAAAAGCACCTGGTGCTGCGGTGCATGCATGTGTATAAATGGCACAAAGGTGTTTTAGCTCAAAAGAACACCACCACTATTTCCTCAGCACTGACAAATTTTGCTGTTTATACAAATATATGCAACGCAGCACCAGGTGCATCAGCTTGCATCAGATCTCCAGCATGTCGGAGCAGGCAAATGTATGTGTATAAATGCCCTAGGAACATTCTCCACAAAAGTAATCTCCCTCCTGCTAAAAGGAAAACATTGCATTTAAAAAGTGAAAAAAATCCTAATAGTTTAATAGATTGTATTTATTTTTACATATTGAAATTGTAATCTAAGGATTATGTTTACTGTGCTTTACCTTTAAGTGAAATTTTAGTTAGTTACAGACCCTGGGCTCAAGTTGAGCTCCTGGAAGATTACTTGGGACACCAAACATTTCTATAACCTGCAGGTTCAGTTTGCCATTCTCCTAAGATTATGGTGAGCATTCAACTCACCCTTCTTACTCTAGTTTTAGGCAAAGCTGTGTGGATTGAATATGAACTATACAAATGTACTCTGCAATCTTATTTTTGCTTAAATTCCTGATGGTATATTGACAGGGCATGCTAGTGGGCAGAATTACAATTCTATCACCTTCCAGTGGTGAGAGGGCAAGAGAGAAAAATTAAAAGCAAAAGAAAGGAAGGAAATGAGCAAAAATTTGAAGAGAAGAACAAGGGCGGGAGGGAACACTATAGTGAAAGATAAGCATGCGTTAAAAGCCAGATTGAGGGAAAAGCCAGAAGAGGAAAGACAGGGGAAAAAAAGGAACAACAATAAGATATACACATTTCTTAGAAATTTAAAAACTGGCAAATACCCAAAAAGGCTAAAGTGCCAGTGGCCAAAGGGATACCATGGTGGTGGGCTTCCTGCAGAACTTGTACCAGGAGGGATCCAATGCACGTGAGTATTAAACCAGATGAACAGAGATCCTGAAATTGAGAAAATCCCAGACCACCTGTCAAACTGCAATGAGAGAGGCCTTGGAAGTTACTCAAACTCCAATAAGGAATGTTAAAAGGAAATGCACAGTGGGCAAGTCAGGGTGGTTTTTAATTTTAATGTGAGGACTAGGAATAAACTAGACCAAAATAAGAGAAAGCCCATAACGACTCACATGCCAAAGAGGCTAGATGCACAATCTGATGCTTATATCAACAGTACAGATGCAAAAAGGCAGTTAGTGCCTGGATCCAGTTATCTGAAATGTGACTCAGAGTTTGAAAACAAAGTGCTGAAACACACTGTATCAAAGCACTGCTTGTTGGAAGGAACAGCACTAGAGCATCTAAAGCCAAACAATTACCAGCCCAGGATCCAAAGACTGAAGGCACCAAATTCAGAGGTGGACAATAGAAAGGCCACTTGACACCAGGATCAAGAGATACAGATGCTGAAGTAGATGCATTGACAATCACCTGCCTCTCAACTGTTCCTTCCTCATCAAGAATAAAGAAGAATGACTATGTTCAAGCTTCAGAAGACTCAGTTTTCCATAAGTTGATGCAGCAGCCAACACAGTACTCTATGCATGGAAATTCCCTTCTCACCTACAACTTCAGTGCTACCCAGAGGTCAAGAAAGTTCAGGATGGCTTAAAAGTACCTTCCATATTGGATCAAAAGAATGTTCTGAGTCAAGGAAATCCAAAGCATCAAGGCCTGGTGAACTACTAGTATCTGATTTGGCAGAATGAGACCAGGATCTCTGTAGGCCAGGGGTTGGCAACATTTATGGACAGTGGACCAACACTTGCAACCTAGCCACCACTGTGGTCTGCTGATCCTCTTCTGCTGTCCCTACACTCTAGCTCTCTCAAGCCCCATCCCACATTCTCCACTTACCATGTCACAAATTTCCATGACCAGTGGCCCTGCTGAACAAATCTGGTAGCAAAGTAAGGTTGGGATGAGTAGGTAAAGCTGGGGCTCCAGTAATATGAAGCAAGGCACAATACACTGGGATCAATGGTGGGTGGGTAGCAGTACACTGGTGCTGCAGGCTGTGGCCACAGGCCAAATCTTAACTCTTTCATTCCACAGTCCAGAAATTGCAAACTCCTGCACATAGACCAATAGGAGCCAACCTTTGTGACAAATTAACCCCAAGCCCTCTCCAAATAACACTCTGATCCTTTCCCCCTGTTTGATCTGCCGCTTGGCCTTCTGCTTCCCAATCTGAGACACCATACATAGAGGTGGTCTATGCCACTTGTGGTACATGTGGTACTGAAGGTTGGCTGTCCCCTCTGTAGGGTATTCAGTCTTATAGCATGACACCTTGATAGCTTCTGTTAAAAAGTAAACATCTCGATTCATCACATACGACTAGAGAACGTCTTGTAAATGGCATCTTGCAAAGATACTTCTCACCATGGAAGTGCCAACATTTGGGAAATAAAGTGCTATTACAGAATTATAGTTCACAGTCACATACTTGGTTTTGGACAACTTAGACCTGTTACAGTCTAAGCACAGTTCAGTCATATTTTAACAGAGTAGAACGAACAGAAAGTTTAGTATTATCCATAACTCATTATAAAAAACAAGCAACTATGTTAGAAGCATGAAACTGTCCTCTGAACAAAAAGGCAACTAACAAGAGATTGTAAGATACTGCTGATTTTCTGTTTTTTATTTGTTAGTCTAAACGAAGTGTGACAAGTGAAGCTGTTCTCCCCTTTCTAAGAGAGGTACGAGGAAAGGAAATAGGAAGGGAACAGGAGAAGGCTTGAGGGTATAAGCAAGGTGTACATGTAACCCTACCAGACACTGATATTCAAAAAGTTCCAAGCACATATATATGGTGAAGTGCAAACAAGCAACTCTTAAAAGAACTATTTAAATAAATACAACACCGGTGTTTCTTCAACCCTTACTCCATATTAGTTGGTAACAACTAGTGGTATTATTAAACTACAGTTTACAGCTCTTTGCATTTTGAAAAGTCTATAACCAGCTTGTTTTTTCATCTTACCCTCTTCAACAATATCATCTTCATTTTGCTTTTCTTCTTCTAATTCTGCTTCATCTTCTAATTCTTCTCCTCCTTGTTCTAGTTCTCCCTTTGTAATTGGCTTAGATATATCTGTTTTTTTGTAGTCAATATCTTCATCTACTTTCTGCAACAGATTAACCACAATTTAAACTTTTAAACTTAACTTTTAAGCTTGCTTTCTAATGGGAGCTATTTTAAAGGCTTATTAAAGTCTGAGTATTATCTAAAATGAGACAAATTCACTTATTCATTTATTCCAGTGATTTTTAAATTTTTCAATATAACTAAAACTAGGGTGCATGAAGCTGAGCAAATTACTATCACTATACTGCAAAATGAAAAGGGTGAAATAATATAATTTTCTTTTTTACCTTGGCTGGCCAGCAGAACAATACACCCAGACCTACAGGCAGTGCTAAGGTCAAGATGTACAGAACCCAAAGCCATGGATGGTCTTCTGCAGCAGTCATCAACTGACTAAACATGCCAGGCTGCATAAACAATCCAACAACAAAGTGACTTAGAAAAATCCAGTAAGTTACATAAATGCTAAGCACTATACATATATGTTTTTCATTTCACAGGCAGAAAGCTTCTTTTGGGAAGTTGGTTTCTTTCAACAGCCAGATTTGCTAATCTGAACAGCGATAATAATACATTTTTTTTAAAACACTGTGGGACATTTTTGGCAAACTTGTAAAACCAGGTATCTCTATATGTAACAAAGAGCGGGCACTCAGACAAGCCAGAAAACAGGGTCACAATAAGGATCAAAACTGGGACCTCAGACACTGAAGGCAGTAAACCCCTGTATTTTGAAATGCAGAACTCATCAAAATAAGCGAGGATATATAGATGCTGAGTTCAGACACTAGAGGGAGTCCTGCTCACATATGCTAGGCCAGTATCATCATAGCATTCTGGGACACAAGCAGAAGATTTCTGCATTAAGGACTTCTTGTAGGCAGTGTAAACAGTAGGTTCATGCACACATGTGAACAGGAGAGCAAACATGGCTCCAAGAACTGAAGCGCACAGTTTTGAGAGTTTAGAACAGCTAAGGTCCTTAGAATTACTTGAGACTGCATCAGTTTTCCTTGGCTGTTTACCCTGTCTTAAAAGCACTGTATAATTAACGAATAAACATGACATCCACTCCCTGATCCAAAAGATTCTACGTTTTCTTGCCAAATAATATTACGAATTCTGGGTGAAATCTTGACTTCACTGAAATACTGTGCTTACTCACATACCAAATGCACCTTTCCCCCCAGATTAGCCTTCCAAAATTGCACCGTATGTCTTAAACAGAGAAGCTGGTTTTGTGTCCAAAATGGAAGTATGGAGATGCTATAAGACCTGCACACCCTCCTTGACTCCTGCTATACCCAAAGTTTAAAACCAGATGCCCGGTAGCAGTAGTGGTATCAGCTTTGTGGCTGAGCAGCTACGAGCTGCTGACAATTCAGCTCTAAAAGGGTTAAAAAACTGCAGCTTGTTGTTTGTTTGTTTTTTGCTTATGCAAGAAAGGGAAGGTGAGTGAGGTGAAGATTAGGCTCTGTCTGTGCTGTATACAGTTTTAACTCTGGGCATTTTTTCCTTCATTCTGCCTTCCCAAAAAAACAAGGTACATGTCCTATTTGGGGCATGTGGCATTAGAGAAAATAAGGGGCCTTTGTTATTGACTTTAGCAAGATCCAAATTCCCTTACTAGATATTTACAATTTAATAGCATGTGGATTTAGAAAAAGCTAGACCAAAAAGATTTGGCATGTTACTTGAAAGCATTAACTATTTGGAATAACATGTAATCAACTCAACACATAGTTAACATTAATAGAAAATTATTTCAACACCACTTCCTCCCCCACCCACTTATTTGACTAAAATGTGTATGGTAAATACTATACCTCATTAGCACTAGCAACTAATTTCTTCATGCCCCAACCATCTGCAGCCCAATGGTCTGCCACTTCTTTTTCTGAACAAATGATAAAATTATCAAAGTATATATCAGAGGTCATAGACCATAGCTCTAACCCAACTGCACTGACAGCAGTCATCTCAAATGGATGAAGGTCCTCAAAATAATCTGGGTTAGGAATTTTTCGAGGGCTCCAGATTCCCTAGAGAAAAAAAAAAGCATACATAAATGCACATATCTGTTCTTAGAACCCTTCACTCAGCTCTTCGTGATTATGCAAAAGACTACTACCCCAAGAAGTACAAATCACAAAAGTGAATTTGACTGAAAATCTTGAGATAGAACAAACACAACAGGCTTTATCTGAAAAAAAAAACAAAAATAGTCAAACATTTACATGAAGGGATACAGTGCATAAAGGACAATCCTCCAAAGTGATCTCTACAGTGAAACCAGATACTAGTTAAAAAACTAGCTAAGAATGTATCCCTCCATCTATGGATATTATTCTGCAGGATTATCACTGACACCTGCAAAGTAATGGGCCCTAGAAATTACCGTAAAGAAAAACAAATACATAAATATGATTACTATAAAAATAATTTGTCAATAACAGATAATTAATAAATAATAAGATCCAGCAAGAAGACAGCATAAAACAAGACTGGTGACTAGAAGCAACAAGAAAGATATTTGATAAATACATGTTACACACAAACAATCATGTTACATACACAAAACACATGGGAAGATGCTTCCCATAAAAATCTACCCAGCAATCTTAACAATTCAATAGTTTGTAGCACTTCCCCAAAACTACAAATTCTTTTCTAACAAATTAGCATATTTGTTTCTTTTTTCAGACTTCCCCAATTAGCAACACTTCAATCAAGAAGTTGAAAGAGTTTCTCCAACCTCTGTTGGCTGTTCTATCATGGTACAGCTCCAGTTCGGAGACTAGTCAGGAGTTGCTACAAAAACATGAATCTTGTTTAGTTTGTTTTCTGAATAATGTTTGTTTCAGAGTTGGTAGGGTCAGAAGGGACCTAAGCAGATCATCAAGTCTGACCCCCTGCTATGGCAGGAAAGAGTACTGGGGTCAAATGACCCCAGCAAGGTGTTCACCTAGCCTCCTCTTAAAGATCCCCAGGGTAGGAGCAGCACCACTTCTCTTGGAAGTTGGTTCCATATCCTAGCCACCCTGACAGTGAAGTAGCGCCTCCTGATATCTAGCCTGAATCTACCCTCTGCCAGCTTGTGACCATTATTTCTAGTCACTCCTGGTAGCGCTCGAGGGAACAGGGACTCCCCCAATGCCTGCTGGTCCCCCTGACTAGTTTGTAAACGGCCACTAGATCCCCACTCAGCCTTCTCTTGTGGAGGCTGAACAGGTTATAATAATGTAATAATGGAATTGATGGGAAAGGGGAAGAGGAAAATTGTATGAACAGCTATTATTTCATGGTATTCTGAATTTGGTCTTGCCATACAGCCTGGGAATGGTAAACAGTTACCCATTACAATGGCTGGGTATCTAAATAAATAAATACATAAAAGAAAAGACTCAGTCTCCATCACTTGGCAACATTCAGTGTCTTGAGTAAAATGTGGTTCACTCAAATCATCTACAAGTATTGTAATGCTGTTTCTCATTATTGGGCTACATAGCAGCTTGCTCTCATTTATTGTTCTTCCGCATTAAGGCAGAACTACTTTAGATCAGAGTGTGTCTTGGAACGACCAAATGGATTCCATATGCCATGAAACTGATTAATTGGTTGATAAAAAGGTTATTACTTGCGCAAATTCTCAGGTTTGATTTTCTCCAAAAGTAAAGATTACAATTAGATCAGTGGTTCTCAACCTTTTTTGTCTCAGGACCCATTTGTAAACATCGATGGCCAGTCCCAACCCAGCGCCCCTCACCCCCGACCCGCTGCCCCTGCCCCTAGAGCCCTAGTGTATGGGACAGGGAATAGGTGTGTGAGGTATGCGGACCCCCACCCCCCTCCACAAAAAGCCGCTTGCAGGTTGGAACTCTGACAGCTTGAAACGGAAAAGCCATGATTTCCCACATTTTTCTCCTTTAAAAAGGAGAATCCATTTTTAAAATTTGTTGATTCATTTGTAAAGTTTGCTCACAACCCTTTCATATATTTTTGCAACCCACTTTTGGGTCATGACCCACAGGTTGTGAGGGGCGTAGCCAGAGCCTGGGCTGAGTCAGCACAATGAGTGGCGAACAGGGTCCTGTATGGAGAGGGGAGGGGGTTTAAACCCCACTCCCCTCCACCTCAGCATGCTGACCTGGGCTGGCATCTGGCCATGCCCTCTGCTCTCCACTCAAGCAGAGAATGAGGAAAAGCCCATCAGGGGCTGCTCCACCCCTTCCTCCCCTTCACATGCCAGCCCAGCCTAGGGTTTGGCCAAGCCCCCACCCCTCCCCCCATCCCCAGTCAAGCAGGGAGATGGGGTAAAGCCTGTCGGGGCGGCACTGCCCCCACCAGGCAGACTACTGCTGGGGTATCATGTGGGTTGGAGAGTGGTTTAAACCCTCCTTTCCCCTCTGCATGCCAGCCTGCACCAGGGTCTGCCCCCGCCCCCCACCATTTCATAGAATCATAGAAGTAGGGTCGGAAGGGACCTTGTAGATCTTCAAAGTCCGACCCCCTGCCTGGGCAGGAGAAAAAAACTGGGCTCAAATGATCCCAGCTAGGTAAGCACCAAGCCTCCTCTTAAAGACCCCCCAGGGTAGAAGCCAGCACCACTTCCCTTGGAAGTTGGTTTCAGATCCTAGCCGCCCTAACTGTGAAGTAGTTCTTACGAACGTCTAATCTAAACCTACTCTCCAACAACTCATGGCCATTATTCCTTGTTATGCCGGGGGTGCTGGGGGAAACAAGGTCTCTCCCAAACACTTCTGGTCCCCCCCTAGTGAATTTATAGGCAGTCACCAGGTCCCCGCTCAGCCTTCTCTTGTGAAGGCT